GGAAAACTATCAAGAGGCTAGCCCAGGATAAGGAAATGTGTAAAGTGTAATTGTTCGTGGCATATACTTTGATGCAAGTGAGGAAGGTAGTGATCATGATGATGATGATGATATCAGATGTTCATTTCAATAATATACAAAAAGTGGGGAGATATGGGATACTATCAAGAGGCTATCCCAGGATAGGAAAAGGTGGAAAGTATGATTGTTCATGGCATATACCCTGATGCAAGTGATACAGGCAGTTATGATGATGATGATGATTTGAGATGAATGACTTTCCAACTTATTGATACTCAGATGAAGGTCTTTTCAACTTAATATAATCTATTTTTTCAGGGGGGAGGGGGGGGGGGAGGTCGGGGTTGTAGTGAAATAAGACACGTCCCCGATCATCATGATATGCTGTGTTTACGGCGGCAACCGTTTGACCTGATCGTCCTTCGTTAACCTCTGGAATGTTCTGGAAAGCTTTCTTTAAAAAATCCAAACAACAAACAACTGTGCTGATAATGCGCAGTTCCGTTTTCGATCCGTGCGTGCACTGCCCGTTTTAGTCTGCCGTGCCGCACTCTGCACTGCTGTCGTGTTGTTGGTTTGCAGTAAACAAAGTCTTGAAAAGGGCGTTTCCTGGACGACTGATCTTGTCTGTTTGTCTCCAGCGCGCGGGTTTCTATTGTCATGAATGGGGTACAGAGGTCACACTACGACGAGGGAGGAGGGAAGGAGCAATCTCGTTCTTGAATAGGTGTGGCGAACGTTCCGACATACCGTTACATTTTTATGTTCTTTTTTCGTATTATTTTGTAAATGTGGGGGAGGAATTTTGTTTGTTTTATGTCGCTTGTTGATCGTTTTATTGTTAAAAGTCGACGGTATAAATTAGACATACCAAATGTCAAGGTTCAAACCGGTGTTGGGCTGTAACAGAAGTCTCCTTTCATGTGGTTTCCTGATTTCCTATCACTTGAGTAGACAAGATCTATCTACGACGATTCTCCGCGCTATCACATTCTCACTTCATCCTCCGGTCTTTGATCTAGTTCAGTTCAGAGCTTCCCGAAAACGCTGGAACAGGTGTGAATGAGAGAGAGAGAGAGAGAGAGAGAGAGA